TCGCCAACATAATGCAGGCCACAGGAGCACATAATTTTGTAGAACCCAGGTCATATTTCTCTCTAAAAGTTGGCATAATTAAAGAAAGCGAGAGTCCTGAGCACTGTTTTTATCCCACAATTTTTCACTAGTTCTCCTATCTTATTTTAAAGAAGACATGACGGCAAAATAAGAACATAAGAAAAGACTTCCGCTTTGACTAAACAGTCTCCGTCTGAAATGTATTCCTCAGTAATGAGATATTATTCACAATTGAGCTAAAAGAATAATTATTTTCCAGGAATACATTTTTCAGCCGTTTCAACTCTTTAGTCAAATATTTGCCATCTGCTAGCTTCGAAAATAGCCTAAACAAGATGTTCAGAACATTTTCTATATTCACATGACAAAAGTATAAAAAATATCTCCGCCATGTGGTTATCCATACATCATTTATCATTCAAAGCATATACTCAGAAAATTTCCGTAAAGGTATTTCGTCAACTAAAGTAAAGCACGTAAAAATGAATCAAAAGACTGACCATTGGCTGCCGGGCGCGCTCAAAAACCGATACTATTAGTCCTATAAAGTCAGCATCCATAGCTTGATAATTGTATTGGGTCATGACATCAACGTGACTGGGCAGGAAAGAAATGTGGGGATGGGAGTGATACCATCCAATAACTCTCAAATTTTCTCCAGTATTTTTAGACAAACTCTGAAAAATGTTATAAAGGCCTACAAATTTGAATATAAATGGAGTAAAAAAATTAAACATAATTGGTTATAGAGACCATTTTGACCCAAGAGGTGGGCTTTAAACTTAAAAATAATTCACATACCTCGCAGATATCTGAGGCGTTCGCCAGCTGCTCACTGGAAATTTCAACCCTATCCTTCCTCTTGAAAGTTCGAATAAGTGGAAGAACGGAAAAAACATTGCTGACTGGAGGGGCAGTCTGAAGTTTAACTAAACTCATGCTTACATTTCCTATCAAAAGGCCAGCAGTCTCTTCATGTTCTGTTGTCAGAGCCTGGGCAAGCATAACTTGAAAAGCCATAGTAGAGACTTTTGCAGTTAAAATTCTCATCTTAATTTCTAAAATAGTCACTGTTTAGACTTAATCGAAAAAAAAGAATAAAAAAGACTGAAAAATAAAGGTTTTATTTCTAAGTTTCAACTGGTTTACAAGGAATCGAGCATCTAATTATTTATTTATGGGCTCCCAGGCTTCAACTTTGGGACGCGTTGTAGAATAGCAAACATATTTCTTTGCTTTATTAAGAGTGACATTCTCCGAATGATCAATAATCCATTTGTGCATTTCAGGCTTTTTGTCTATAGGGCTTTCATCGCAAATATGGTGAAGCCATCGGTGCCTACAAGTGTAAAAAGTAAAGGCACTTACCACTCAGGAGGGACTTGGGAAGCATCGTAGTCCCAGCCATAAGCATTGCTATAGATCACCCATCTGTTTCGCCCTAAGAATAAGATTTCGGAGTCTGAAAAAGCTAACCAATGAACATTTTGTTGTTCTCATAATATTTATTTCCAAATTTATCAGTGCCAACTAACTTGCCCGACTTTAGGTCATCAGTTCTCAAAATAAATTGGGAGAAATTTACCGAAAAAAAGTAAGAAAAGACTTGAAGATTCCACCATTTTCCTTTATGATAGAGCCAAATCTGACGACCTTGCTTATGAGGCTCATTTTAGCAACAAAATGAGCTACAAGTGTAGCGCGTTGCGAAAATAGGTCAAAACAAGGAAACTTAATAGTACGACAAAAATAGAAGTTTAATTAGCCAAGAAACATTTGCTTGTAATTATTTGCAGAACGATGAATTTTTATGCCTACGGTATGTTTTTGTTTTTTTATTTAGTGATCATTGATTGCTTTCATCAACTAGATTTCCAAGGCGCAATAAAGTCAGTAACAGCCCACAAAAACTAACTTTATTGCTTATTTGTGAAAAAGCATTTGAATTTTTTTCTACTAAACTAATGCATAGTTTTATAGTGGTGTCTTTCATTATAAATTTATCCGCGTGATTTTTATCACAGCCTCTGAAATAGACCTCATGTATAGCAAATATATTCTAAAATTAATGCTACACTATTGGTAAATGCTAAACAATGTATAGCTTAGGGTTATTTCACATTTTTGTGGTTTATAGCTTCTGGTAGCTACACTTTCGTATATAGCATGTTTTTAACGAATGAAAAAAGACTAGCATAAAACTCCGAAGTACTAGAAATTCAATAGGTTATAATTTATTAATAGAAATTCTGAAATTATATTACAAGTAACAGGATAATACAGGAGCAGAAAATTAGGAATTTTTGATTTGGTGTAATGTTGAGATTATACATTACATCTTCATGATTCGACTCCCGATGGGGTGTTGATGAGGCCTGAGAATGGTTAAAACTGCAGTCAATTCTGGATGAGAACACCTTTTAGGAAAGCAAGGCTATGCGAAATTCAATAGAAATTTCAGCTCTACTCATATCTTTGTGAATAAATTTAACTACCTTTCCTTGATCACCTTAAATGAAATGGAGTGATTACATCTCATATAACTAAGTTACCGGTAGTCTCGTAACTCTACTCATAAACCAAAAATACTTATTTTTGGCTAACACATAAAAAACAAATCAGAGTATTAGTTAAAGGATAGTTATTAGATAAAAGGAAAAACATGAGGCAGGATTTGACTCGATGGGTAAAAACGAAGCACCATAAAAAAGATCGAGTAGTAGAGGATTGTCCTGGACAGTCTATGCT